AGAAAATTGGAAGCACTGAACGTTAGATCTATAGAACGAAGACACTTCCTTTTTTCCGGACCCGAGTCCGAATAACATTTTTTCCTATTCGGACTCGAGTCCGAATAATTTTTTTTATTCAGACTCGAATATGAAAAAAATGTTATTCGGACTCGAGTCCGAATAACGACGGCCTGTGGCCAATTGCGGGAGATGATCGAGGCGCGTGCGCTGAGCCAGGGGCCAGACTGACAAGGGACCAGAACGCAGGCGAGGTGCCGAAATAGGCTTCTCGAGCGACATCGGAATCATAAACCCGGCACCCGCAGGACGAGGGTTGAACCAGGTCCATGAAGTGATGACATCACATTACTAAAATTTGCAGCCAATCAGGAAGATGCGTCATTCTATGTTTAATCGCATGTGAGAGAAACCTAACAAAGAAAAATGAAATTACAGCTGCAGCTTCGGTCAGGGAGAGGGGAGTCTGGCGCCTGAAATCCTGAAACTGAAAGTAGTGAAAGATGAGATGCACAAAATCAACATGATCAGATCCCAACAAATTGTAATCAAAAGAATCTCTATTTAACAGCCCAAATTTGTTCCTTCTACTAACGTCATAGTTTCATTATAAGATACACTAGACTAGACACCTTTTTTTACCAATCATTGTGGGCACCTCGTTGTCAATCACTGTTCATAATCATTCAATTCAATCGCTTAGCCTACTTATCACTTCGTTATCAGTTTTGCAACGATAAAATAGTTTTCAATACCCCATCACATGAAATAACATTTGAACATCATACCTTTAGGGAATACAGCAAGGTACTGGAAATTTCCCCACAGACCATCAGGGGGGTGGAGGACGCCATCAAGAAGCCGGATTCCCCGAAACGCTCCTGTGTCAGGATTTCTGTATTTCAAGCCGCATGCTCCTGGGAACTGTGCACTTAGAGTTGTGAGGAGTAAAGTGCCGTCATTTTCACTTGGGATTTCAATAGACTCGTCGCTTTCATCTTCTACTACCTGAATATACTGTGCCATGACTAACCCTTGGTTACTATCAATCGCAAAAAAGAAATCCTAAAGAAAGAAATCCACTTGCCGGCAGATCTACTAAAATGGCGGCTAGAGAAAGAAAGGCGGGTGGCGCCCCCTGTATTTCGTTTAAAAATCCAAAGGGACAATACTTCTCAATCCGAACTGTTTGGCTAAACCTTGACAGGCTTTCGGATAAAACATTCACGTGGAATGTATAATTTTAAGGGAACATTCATTATAATAATTATTATAATAACATAATGATGCACAGATTCATGTAATAATAATGATAAGAGCAAAGAGAAAAATAGAGACAGAAAGAGGGGGAGAGAAAGAGAGAGAGAGAGACGCCTACAATCTCTGGAAAGCTCTAATTCATGTACCATGTACATTAGATTTAGATCAATGTAAAATTACCACTCGACTGACAAATCATAATAAGGAAATGCACATAATATTACGAGATCATTAGATCATTTACCCCCCCCCCCCCAAAAAAAAACCCCACTCACACGCACACATTACAAACACACACACACACACACACACACACACACACACACACACACACACACACACACACACACACACACACACACACACACACACACACACACACACACACACACACACACACACACACACACGTGAATTACTTGATCTAGTGCCTAGTGGTCATGCTTTTTCGATCTCATTTGCCTATGATAATGATAATGATCATGCGACACTTCGCCTTCGAATCAAGGAGTTTACAGTAGTTCTAAGCTCCTTGCTTCGAATGCAAATACCCCTTATTATCTTATATTATATGTGTCGTCTTTCCTTTCAAGATTATAAGCCTATTATAGGGACTACAGGACTGTGTCGGACAACAACTATACAGGTTCATCACCCAAAGATCCTATACTACAAGATGGTTCACTAATTATAGTCTCTTATTAGAAATCTAAAAGCGTCCACAAATTGCTGGTGGAACAATTCTGACAATTTGTGCGAACGTGGACGGGCTTTGTTATTCTTGTTGTTGTCGTCGTTGTTGTTGTTGTTTCGTGAGGATTATTTTGTTGTAAGCCTATGCGGGCACAATTTATAACAGTAGTGAAGACTTAGGGAACCTAAACAAATGGGTAACAGGGAAAGATCAGGGAAACGTAGCTTTTTTGAGAGCATCCGAGCAAAGGAATAAATGGAAAACCATGATCGTCGATGTATGTCGCTGATCTGGCTCTGGGTGATGATGATGATGATGATGATGATGATGATGATGATGATGATGATGATGATGATGATGATGATGATGATGATGATGATGATCCTAACAGGATTTCACAGCAGGCTTATAACAAATCCTCTGTCTGGTCTCTTATTTATAGCCTGATGTAGATCTATGGTAAAGAATAGTTATTTTACAATCAGGCATTCGAACAGACATACTTGGAAATCATCGTCCGTCATAATCTTAAAATAAGACAAAAGGGCAAGAAAGAAGAAAGCAAAATGAAGTAAATTATTGATGGCACATCACACCGAATTTGATTGTGTAATGTACCTACACTGTACACATGTTCTGATGTGTCATATTATCGTATTTGCAAGGGGAAAACGGGGGGGGGGGAGTTGGATGCATTTTGGAGTTGATGTAAGCCCAGTCACAATGTCTCACAGTTGGATTTGTTTAATTGCTACGGAAATGAATGATTGGATGAAAAGTAGACACAGAGCGGTAGATACACCGCATATATCTATGTGTGCTCCTCTTTCCCAAAACGTATAACTATTCGATTACGGATACATGTACATTGTAGTTGTAAAGCGCACGGACCAAGATGTGGACTCTGTAGGACATGAATATCTGCTACATATCATCATCCAGTGCCAGATCTGCGACAGACATCGGCATCGTGGTTTTCCTTTCATTTTCATTCCTTTGCTGGGATGCTGGTAAAAAGGCAACGTTTCCCTGATCTTTCCCCGTTACTCATTTGTTTAGGTTCCCTAAGTAGGTTGCTCTGGACCCACCCCTGCCTCGCTTGCCTTCAATTTTTGCCATTGAGAGCTAGATGTTCAAGGCCTTTATGTCTATTCAGGTGTCCCAAAAACTGCATTTGTCGTTTCCTGATTGTTGTTTCAACATTGAGCGTCCCACGCGGGCTTCACCAAGCACTGCTCATTTGATTTCTTTTCTTTCCGCGATAGTCTATGCAGTCTCCCAAGAAACCACATTTTTGTTGATTCTATTTATTTATTTTCAAGGTCTTTGGTGATTGTCCAGCATTCACAGCCATATAGAAGGGTTGACCAAACATAGCATTTTAGAAATTTCATTTTGGTAGTCAATGAGATGTTTATATTTTTCAGGATTGGGCTCGTTTTATTGAAACTAGCCTTAGCCATTGCAATTTTACGTTTTATTTCTGTTGCACATTTGGTATCAGATGTTATCATACATCCTAGATATTTAAACTGTTGGACTAGTTTGATCTTTTCACCTTTGCTAATGAGATTACAAATAGGATTTGCTGCTTTTTTTAAATATTACCATGCTTTTCGTTTTCCTTTCATTTAACAATAATCCTTTACGCTCACTTTTTGATACAACAGTATTTAGTAAGCGATCCAAGATCCTTTTCCTGCTATCAAAACTGTGTCATCGGAATTTCTGAAGAACATAACTATAGCGGAACCATCCCTACAACGGGATCTTACCCGGAATCTCCTTTTTTAAAATGTAAACTCAATTATCTGTGCTCGGGTTTAACGGGGCAAGGAAAGGCCCAAACTCGGATACAGCGGGAGAGATCGAGCGAGCTCTAGCTGTGGGAAGGGAGTTGGGGGTGGGTGGTAAGGGGCTGTAAGTGGGCTCCAAACAGGTAGTCAGTGGTGCGGCGTTATGATTGGCCAATCCAGTAATGAGTGAAATGGGGCAGGTAGCAGAGAAAGATGATGCGGAGATACCCGTTACGTGAGCCACTCCAAAAGTGATATGCCGTTGCTTAGACGCAGGGGCGGACTGGCCTATGGGCATTTGGGCAATGCCCCCTGGGCCGGTGCCGAAGGAACAAAGTGGGCCGGTGCCGAAGGGAAAAAGTTGGCCGGTGCTGAAAGGACAAAGAGGGCCGCTTGGTTAAAGAAAATTATCTTCAGATTACTGAGTCTGTTTCTGTGTTCTGACTAGTAACATAATAATAGTATGGAGACTTAGAAACATGTTGGCTTTGCTTGTTTTACTGGGCCTTAGTGGGCCGGTACGGATGACATATTATGCCGGGCCGGTTTTAAGACCCAGTCCGCCCCTGCTTAGACGCTCAGTATGAGAGTGTATAGGCCGCCCAGACTAGCCTAGGCCAAAAAGTAAAATAAGAGGAGAGCATGTAGTGTGTGATTCCTGATTCATTGAATTGCAACCATTGATGCTTAGGTATACGCACGCATCCACTTTTACAGTAGGTCAACCGGTTCGACAGACAGCACAACCAATATACCGAGGAAAAGATGGCTTTTTACAAAGACAAAAGGAAATGCTTCTCACTTCTCACTCGAAGTAAAGGTCGAGAAAATCAAACAAGGAAGACCAATCTGAAGAGTAAATATGAAAGGGGGGTTATCATGATTGTGGATTTCACCTTTGCATTTCTATAGCGGGAACTCGTGTACAGCGGGATTTTTGTTCTAGAACCAAAAGTCCTGCTATAGCCGTGTTTTACTGTATTTTCTCCATTCACCTTTGAGACCTGGGCATTCTTTTTGAAGTGATCCGATTTGTGTTGTTGTTGCAACCCCTGACTACCTTTTCACAGCATCATTATAATTCTAAAAGTTTGTTATTTCTCGAGACTTCTAAAGAAGTCTAACCAATTAACCAACCATTAAAAAAACAAAACAAGAAAGAACAACGATGATTTAATTTTCGGAGTGGATAGTCGCCCGATGTCGGGTGGCTAGCGTCAGGCCAGTCGCCCGACCTCGGTCGGGTTATTTAAGTTATATTACAAGCCATGTCATACATGTGGCCTTTTCGTTATTTTGTTGTGTTTTTTTGTTGTTGTTGTTGTTAAAACAACGACAAGAACAATACCTCAGAAAGACGAACTTTTAGGAAAGGCTCATAGATCCATAGATCTATAGATCTAATAGTCTTGTCAGGTTGTTACTGGTTACATTTCTAACGTGAAAGTTTGACTCTGACTGCAATGATCTGACCAAATTGACATTATTATAATACATGCATGTCATGTATGAAGATGGGACTGGCCATAATGTGTACAATAATGACTGTATTGCACCGGATCAGCTTGTGAACCGATGCAGAGAGAAAACGACAGGAATCAGTAATTCAAATAACACCCCCCCCCCCTCTCTCTCTCTCTCTCTCTCTCTCTCTCTCTCTCTCTCTCTCTCTCTCTCTCTCTCTCTCTCTCTCTCTCTTTCTCCCTCTCCCCTCTCTCTTTCTCTCTCTGCCTGCAGACAAAATGTCTCGCTTTCCGCTGAGTACTGGAACGTTTGTTTACACTTGTATCACGGGCCGTCACGCGCAAAGACCAAGCAGATCTAGCGCCCAAGTCCCGTTTGGACGCGAGATGGGGCAATTGAAACGTCTCGGTAGTTTAGACAATCTTTAATAACATTACGACTCTGCATTTCTATTGTTAGTAGCTTTGTCACCGGCATTCCGATGAATGATAATAATAAAGGGTGATAGATCAAGGGGATCTAGATCTAGTCAACTTGCGAGGGAAACCTCCGAAGACGACAAAAATAGATGGCGGAAAAACATCATCCATGATCTATTTTGGGCCAATCACAGAGGTGTGCTAGGTGCTCTCAATAGCTTCATGTCGCTCAGAAGGCCGCCTTGTTTACGCTATCTAGGCCTAATATGGGGTGCCAACTACGGATGGGATACTCGCGGTCGCCTCAAAAAAACAAACTCGTTTGTTTTCAGTTTCAGGCGATCGGCCCGATTCAGCCGTAGTGGGCACCCCGTATAAGACTAAGACTAGATCTAGATCTAGGTGACCGGCTCCAGGTGGGCGGAAAATGCTAGCAACCCGAGGTCGCAGAAATCCCCACCGGCCAGTAGGCTAGCGTCAGGCTTCTTGACAAGTTGACC